AAATTAAAAAACAAGGCCAGGCGCGGTGGCTCACACATGTAATCCTAGCACTCTGGGGAGGCCGAAGCGGTGGATGCTCAAGCTCAGGAGTTCAAAACCAGCCTGAGCAAGAGCTAGATCCTGTCTCTACTATAAATAGAAGAAATTAATTGGCTAACTAATATATATATAGAAAAATTAGCTGGGCATGGTGGCGCATGCCTGTAGTCCCAGCTACTTGGGAGGCTGAGGCCGAAGGATCACTTAAGCCCAGGAGTTTGAGGTTGCTGTGAGCTAGGCTGACACCACGGCACTCTGGCTTGGGCAACATAATAATTTATTTTTACCACAGTTAATTGGTTGCAAATAGTTAAGAGTTGACAGTACTTGGGAAAAAAACCTTATAAATTGTAAGCATAATATAAATTATTGGAGGAGTAAAAAGAACATGGATGAAATAAAGCATGCCTCTGTTATGAACTAGAGGAATCACTTGCCATCTGAACCCCTATTTCCTTGGGGATAAAATGAACACATTCAGTGAAGATAAGGCTCTTCTACCTTTAACAATTTATGAAACTACATCTTTTATGGTTTTTGTCAGGTTTACACTGACCTAATGAAGGAAAAATGCAAACATTTCCTTAGACACACGGTAATGAAAATAGCATGGTCTCCATTCCGTATAGGTTTATGGAGTTCCTAATCATACTAGAAGCAATAGTGGCAACTCGAAAGCCAAAGGAAGCCCCCTCCACTCTTACGGTGATCTACGTAAGGGTTCACTGAGTAAGACAGGCCGGCATCCAGAGAACCTCCAGTCTGCAGTTCAACTCGGACTTCACAGGAGACATGACAGTAAGGAGGAGGCCCAGAGATGAAGAGTTGCTGTGTCAAAGAAAGAACAAAGATTAACAAGCAACTTAAATGAGTATGTTTGTCAACATTAGGGAAAATAGGTTGGAAAGTTGCCTGGCTTAGGTTGCTGCCCGCCTCAGAGAGCATGTAAGGCAGATATTGGTCTCTTGACTTACAGTTCCTCTTCTCTTAGTAATTATCCATACTTTTGTTTTAGATAACTACACCCTCCATATGTAGCACATGTAGTTTGGGGGATGCCAACTCCATCACTAGTTCTGGTAGTCAGGCATGTGTCCAGGCTAAGTGAACCATAATCCCACTCACAAAGCAGAGTTTCAAGTTAATGGATAACTTGAAACTACAGCACATAACTCAGAACCTACAGGACACCAAGAACAGTTTTCTAAGGCCATCTGAAAACTCCCTTGCTTACCCAAAACGATCCAGGCTAGCTTCCTCAACATGGAGGTAAAACACAGGTACTCCCATGAGCCAGACTTAAGAAAGCTGATATCATCTGGAAGGCAAAATTGAGGGATAGGAAGAAACAGAATCTTTGATTATACCATGGAGCATCTAGGCCACATCAACCCTAAAACTTTCACACTACCTCCAGATTTATCTTTTACTAAGTGAACTTGCACACGATTTTCTTTCCTTTGCAATTGGAAAAATCTTCACATATCAAAGATGTAAAGATTCCTGATTCAAAACACAGAAACTTGAAGATATTCAACAGATAAGGCCAAACTACGGTTAAATCCATATTCTTTTTTGTTTTTTTGAGACAAAGTCTCACTCTGTTGCCCAGGCTAGAGTGCCGGGGCGTCAGCCTAGCTCACAGCAACCTCAAACTCCTGGGCTCAAGCGATCTTCCCACTTTGGCCTCCCACACCGCTAGGATTACAGGCATGAGCCACCTCGCCTGGCCCTAAATCCATATTCTTAATAGAAGTCATTGTTATATGAACTTACCCTGAGGATGCAACTATTCATGAGCCAAGTTACAAGAGCATAAACCCTAATGTATGTTAGAAGAAATAATGATGTGTCCCAGGTGGCGTGGCGGCTCACACCTATATTCCTGGCACCCTAAGAGGCCGAGGCAGGTGGATAGTTTGAGCTCAGGAGTTCGAGATCAGCCTGAGCAAGAGCGAGACCCCCGTCTCTCCCAAACCCCACTAACACCCCACCACCTCCCCAAACTAATAAACTACCACACCTATAAGACAATACCGCCCAACTAACATCCATCCACCTACCACCACAACCCAAACCCTCCAAGACCTCCCTCTCCACATTACACCAGAAACCCCATCCCACTAACATATAAACCCAAAACCATAAAAAACATCAAAAATCAAACCACCACAAAACCAGCAAACACGTACCAAAATACAAATACCATAAAAGAAAACCCCAATTAAACAAAAAAAAACCACACCCACTCATCAAACCACCCACCATCAGCCAACGCTCTAAAATAACTATCACCCCATCAATCCCACGACAGAGCAACATCCCACAAAATTTTTTCTATATATTTTTTTGTTGTCCGTAATTTCTTTCCTATTTTTTTTTTAGT